CGGCGACTTTTGTTGTGATTTGGCGCTATATAAATAAAATTGAATTGAATTGAATTGAAAGAAATCCTGATTCTCACCATAAACCTACTCAGCCCAGCGAGGTCTGAGATAACCTGGTGAAAGCTAAAACCACTGTAAAAGTGCTCTACACAACAGAAGTTAGGCAAATTCTATTGTAATGCTAGAATAAGTTAGCAATACAAGTTCAATCCTGTAACCAGTTTTTAAAAAGAAAAACGGTGAACTGCACTAAGCTGCCTACAGGTTCTATGAGTGGTGAAGTAGTTTATGTGCAACTCTCTGCAACACTACTGAGAAAAAAGACATATTTCAGGCAGAATGAAAAAGGAAACAAATGTTTGTACTTTACCAGAAGATATCCTTTGTCTCTGTTCTCTTTCCTTTGCTGGATCTTGGCAACTAATCCTGTATGTTTGGGTGTTGGACAGAAATAAGGGGGTGAAACATTTTTTGTCTGCATAATCAAAGAGTATCACACAACCAGCAGTAATCAGCAGCGGGATTATTAGCGCCTTCTATTAAAGTTGGAAGTTGTAATGTCTGAGTTCCGAGTTAGAATTTTCAACTGGAAGTTGGATTTTCAACTCTGAAAATCAGAGCAGCCCCATCAACCCAAAGTTAACTTAAATGGACCTCCACATATATACCTGTTCAAGGACCTGATGATCCCCACAACAGGATCATCAAGGGGGTCCATATTTGTTTTGTTTGGCTGCAGTAAACCAGGAGACGGGTTTAGCAGGACCTGCTTCCTGGATTTATGGTGACCTGACAAAGCAAGGCTTTCCTCCAGTGCAGAGTCCTGAACACAAAAATGAAAAATTAATCCACGTGGAAAGAAAATAGACCGGGTCAAGACTGTCTGCAAAAGGCAGAAGAAAAATAGAAGAGGAGGTCATAGACCCCATGCAGCCTAGAAAGAAGAGAAGCAGTGCAGAAAAACAAGGCAACAGGTGGTGGATAGGAAGTGACATACCAAACTCAAATCCAGGTACTGACAGCACTCCGTGAGTTCTTTATTGATTGATGACAGGAAGGAACAAACCTGATCTGGAGACAGCTGCATATAGAGAAAATATTCACGTTGGAGCTCTTGTTCTTTGGTATAAGTACTACAGTCCTCTGTACAGTAACTGAATAGGAGTAATAACAGTAGTCATTTGACCAGGGGTGAAAAAATAATGTTATGTTACTACTATAAGTATGGACACAGATTTTTTTTTCTGTGGCTTTTGTTTAATTATGTGCAGTTTTGGTGGAGTTTGTACTGTTCATTCTTGCTTCTTTTAATTCTACCAGTTTTCCCATTTTCCTGCTTTTTCCCCTACCAGCCCTGTTCAATTAGCCAATGTTCATATTATATCTGGATTAGACCATCTCCATTGTCATCTTCTCAGACATGTCCTGACAGAATCCAGCAAACCTGCTTTTCAGAATTGTTTCCTGGAAGCTCTGACCACGTACACTGTGTTCTTTGCAGTTTCACCACAGCCCTCAAACTTGTGGAAATAAAAAACTATATAAGCTTCTGTTTCAGAGGTGCACAAAAAGATGACCACGAGTCTGAGATCACTCAAATTCATATCAGGTAAGCCTTTTGGTTTTAATTGGTCCTGTTCTTGGACATTTTTGATTACTTCTTGTATTTATGGGCCACTGTTCTTCCAGCTGCAATATAACTTTGTCACTGCGCAGTCAAATCTCCCAGCTACCTTACTACCTGTGTGTCATCCAACATCTTCCTCAGGTCCTCCAGTCTTTTGCTGATAACAGTCTGCTGGTGGTTACTTCTGGCAGCCTGGAGGGGCCCAACAGTATTAATAAACAACCAGCAAAGACAGAGAGAGACAAGCAGACAGAGAGAGAGAGATGGGCACCTCAGCTTTGATGTGAACTTGTGTGCTGGTGATCATTTTCTGGGCATCCTCAATAAATTTCACCTCAGACTTCAGAAAGGACAGTTTCTCTTCCAAGGGAGCCGACACTTCTTTCACCTGCAAAATATCATTAGACTGTTTAATGTTGAACACCAGAACTGCCTCTGGAGTCTCCACTAG